TCAAATAGTTCCAAAGTTATTACAAAAAAATCAAATTTCCATACCCACATTCCGAGGGCTGTAAAATTCTTATCAGTAGAGATAGGACACGAGTTATTATTTAAATTAACATCATTTTATAGGTCATTTTTGAGGTTCAAATATTGCTTCATATTTATGAATAACCCTGTGTATGTCTTATAAATTATAGATCCTAAAATGACCAGTTCAAAATTCAGGCAATTAATAATGCAATGTAAAGGGTATCTAGTATGTATCGGAATAAATGATGATGAAATATCCATACAATGAATTTGAATGTTTCTGTTAATGATAATATTGACGATAATACAATCATAAACATTCTAATGTTTATTAATATTAATTTATACCTAATACAAGGTGTTTATAAAAAAAACGTATGCTACGAACGTTGATATGGGATAGATTATTGTTATGTTGTACAACAAATATAAAATATAAACGGTTTTTGACAAACACCTTGTATAGTAAATTTACGTACAGAAATGATTAGAATGGCACACGTCATTGTAGATTTATGTATTTTATTGTATTGTATGTAATTATTAGAACATAGATTGTCTATACTCACAATGAACTTGAAGCTTACAAACAAGACACTTAAATTAAATTCTAATGTTGGTAACTGTAAGCGATTTCAAACATTGGAACAACTAATTTTTTAAATATTTAATGCTGTACTGAATATGGGAAACTTACTGATATACACGTAAATGCAACATGTCACGTTTTAATTAATAAATAAAAATTACCTACACTCAATAACTTAAAAAGATAAGTCTAATTTTCATTTTTTTGATTATGTACAATTTAAGTTTTATTATAAATGTAAAGTCTAATGATTATAAAGTGTTTGCGTATCACAACAATAAACTCTGTAAGTTTAAAAATGTGCCTTGCCATATTGTGTTGGTTAGGTAAACATAGCGGTTTTACTAAAAATGTGTACCTATTTTTAAATTTAATTCAATTTTTAATACACAGTTTTTTAGGCAGATATTTGGAAAGCTCAGAAGCCAATCAATTTGTTACAATTTTTTTCAAAACAATTTAATATGTGCTTCAGATGACACTGTATTGTTAAATCTTTCAGTTGGCAATGCACGTAAGGCACTACTCTAAAGTATTCACAAGAAGAAAAAAATGGGGCCCTCCATTTGAAAAGATGCAGTTCCGGGTATTTGAAGTTTCCCAAACGTAACCTTAATTTTGGAGGTTTGTTAATTATTTTTCCAATTATAAATACACGAAAGAAAATATCTGACATTTCTTTTCTATATTCTCAAATACGATTTCAACATATGAAAAATGGTAGAGTTATCAATTTTTGGATTGGAAGATGCAAATTAATTTTTTTTAAGTCTAAATATTTCATAAACGGTTAAATTTAGGTATAGGGAAGTCTAATAAAAACTCTCTCAAAATCACATGAGTAATCCAAAATCGTAATAAAAAACATACCTTTTTATTTAAAATAACGATGTTGACATCCACTTTCGGTGTAACCGGAAATACTGAGATCTTGAAAATATTTTCATTAAACAGGAACTAAACGATTATGGCTATAATCAAAATTTTAGGTAAATATCATTGTTAGAACTTTCAATACTTCTAATGTGGGGTACAGCCGGAATAGCCTGTATAACACTGTTGCCGCCCATGTGCGATGTACATACCAGGTGAATAAAAAGTATGGAACCAAACCTTTTTTGCTTGAACTATTTATTTTTTGAAAAAACTAATTGAGTGATAAAGTACTATAAAAATGTAATGATTTAACAAGAATAAAATTTTTTGAAATTTCCTTTTGTTTTTGAGTTCTACAAAAAACTTAATTTTTTTAAATGGCAACCCACTATAAAATCCTTTTTATCATAAAAGCTATACTCTAAGGATTACAACTATCTGCTTTATATTTATTTTTTTCAAAATTTTTTTTTTACATAAATTGCAATTTTGACAAAAATAAAACAAAACAAAATTTCGTTCTGAAAATACGATCACATTTTTTATATTACCTTAATTTATATTAATCATTATTTTCTGGAGGCAAATGATTAAAAATAAAACCGCTTGGTTCCATACTTTATATTCACTCTGTATGTATAAAAGAGTTCGGTGACTGACTGACATACAACGCACAACATAACCCACTAAAGCTAGAAACATGAAATAATTATTATAATAATAATAAGAATTTAACGGTATGAGATAAGGTGCAAACATTTAAACGCAATTTTATAATCATAAAATGTAGAATTTTGAGGGTGTAGAAGTGCTCTAAGAAGACACATTTTGAAAATCGACCTTTAACAAGTTACTTAAATAAAAAGTTAAATTAAATGGCGGAGACCTAACTTCAGCCCGTGACTAATACGACAGTTGCTATTAGCAACGTAAGTAATACGCATAATTATTAGTCACGGCTTGTCAAGACTTCACCTATAAAATGATGTTAATTTAAATAATAACTCGTGTCCTATCTCTACTGATAAGAATTTTACAGCCCTCGAAATGTGGGTATGGAAATTTGATCTTTTTGTAATAACTTTGGAACTATTTCACCAAATATTATAAAATTTGGAACATTTCCCTGTGACAACATACCCTTTAAACTGGTAATCACGAAAACCGGAAACATCCACTCAATTTCCGGTTCCAGCAGTTGCAGGTCACATTTTCTGTGTTTTTCCATTTTTTTGCTCCCTTAACACCAATTTTTTATTGCCCAAATCGATAGAGTAATCAATTTCGATTAAAAAACGCATAACCTTTAATACCCCTAAAATGGACCGTTTCAAAGATATTTTAATTTAAACTGAGGACTACACAACGCTGAAACCAAAAAGTAGGGATTTTGAATGGATGATATCCACGGTAACAAATGACCATGGTCTRACTAATCGCTGTCAGGCATCTGTCAACTTTGACATTGGACGATTATTAGACAATTAATCGAAAATATTTAATAAAAGAGTTTACCTCAGATTCCAAACATAACTTAGAATAAATCTAAATGGATCTCGTAGCATTTAATTCATAAAAAATTCACAAAAATTTATTGTCAAAGTTAACAGATGCCTGGCAGGGATTTATGTGACCATGGTCATTGGTTGCTGTGGATACCATTTATTCAAAATCCCTATTTTTTGATTTCAGCATTGTGCAGTCCTCAGTATAAATTGAAATATCTTTGAAACGGTCCATTTTAGGAGTATTAAAGGTTATGCGTTTTTTAATCGAAATTGATTACTCTATCGATTTGGGCAATAAAAAATTGGTGTTCAGAGAGCAAAAAAATGGAAAAACACAGAAAATGTGACCTGCAACTGCTGGAACCAGAAATTGAGTGGATGTATCCGGTTTTCGTGATTACCAGTTTAAAGGGTATGTTGTCACAGGGAAATGTTCCAAATTTTATAATATTTGGTCAAATAGTTCCAAAGTTATTACAAAAAAATCAAATTTCCATACCCACATTCCGAGGGCTGTAAAATTCTTATCAGTAGAGATAGGACACGAGTTCTTATTTAAATTAACATCATTTTGTAGGTCATTTTTGAGGTTCAAATATTGCTTCATATTTATGAATAACCCTGTATAAGTAAATGAAACTTTTGGACTTTTCTTTTTGTTTTTGCGTTCTAGAAAATTCTTTTAAGAGGTGGTTCTAATTCTTAAATTAGTCTTTGTCAAAAAGAATTACTGCAGGTGGCATTAATTAGTTTTTTACTTAAAAGAAATAGTAAACAGTTTAAACAAAAAAAGCTTGACACCTTCTTTCTTTATCCTGTATACAAGTTTGTTTTTAAATTTTCTAGCTACGTTTACAACAGCATTCCATTATACAGGCTGTTCGGTCCAAGTCGCCCCGGCCGATAACACATGAACTTACTTTTTTTTTCAAAAACTAAATTTTCAAATAACACTATTCATTCCTGGTTTTCTTAGTAAATGCATCAAATAATTTTTTTGGCACATCCGGTGTAGCCGGAAATGCTACTAAATTTAGTTTTTCAAAAGGAACACCTATGTTTTTTTCCTCGAAACAGTAATAATTTGCATAAAAAATACGGTAAACAACTATTTATTACATTTTACTTTACATAATGCACTCAGAAAACAATTTATTTTAGAATTTTGTTAGCAAATTTTGCAACGTAGGCGGATTTTACCTGTCAAGGTATTCATGCAAAAAGCAATACGCTTGAATACCGTTTAATTGTTAGTTTGACAAAGTCTAATTTGTCAATAAATCTTATTGAGATCTTTAATAATGGATGATATTAATTACGACGAATTGGTAGATCAGCTTGAAGTGTTTTTTAAGTGCAATAAAAATAGAGCGGAAGCTGAAAGAGAGTATAGAGAAAAATACTCAAATAGAGTTCACCGAAATCGTTGGAAATTTAGTCGAATTGAAAAACAACTGAGACGAACAGGCTCGCTTCTTAAAACTAAGTTTTAAGTTTTTAGTGAAGAACAAGAAAATAGAAATCTGAATGTTTTGTTATTAGTCGAAGAATATCCAAGAGTTTCCATAAGAGAACTCGCTCATGAACTGACAAATTAGAAAATCAGTCTACCAGCGACCAATTTTCTTATAAAATTCTAAGATTTAAGATGTTTTTGGATTGCATTGTGTTACGCAAAATGTAATAAATAGTGGTTTACAGTATTTTTCATGTCAATTATTATTGTTTGGAGCAAAAAAATCATAGGTGTTCCATTTGAAAAACTAAATTTGGTAGCATTTCCGGCAACACCGGATGTGCTAAAAAATTGATACATTTATTAAGAAAGCCAAGAATGAATATTATTACTTAAATATTTACTTTTTGAAAAAACGAAGTAAGTTTAGATATTATCAGCCGGGGCGACTTGGACCGAACAGACAGGGTATGTGCTAAACTCCATAAAAATGATAAATAATTTAATTAAAATTACAAATAACTAACGTCGATTTTAAATAAAATTTTAGATTTAAATACATAGTTATTTATCAAATAAGGAAATTAAGAAATGTTTGAATGTACTTTTAATTAGAAGCTTCTTTACTTTTTTATTATAAAATTGGGGATTTTTTAGAGACAATTTAGAAACGTGTAATAGTAACTTATACTCTATCTTCTCGTAGGTATGATTAATTACTTAGTCCATCCTCAAAAAAACAAAAAAAAAATCTATTATTTTATTTTAGATTTTACAAACAATTCAATGATATACAACAAATAAACCTATTATAAGTAAGTGCTTGCATATTTGTAAGTAATTTAAATTTTTATGTTTATTAAGTAGTTACTGTTATAAATATAAAAAAAATAATAAGCATACTACGTGTGCTGTTATATATATTTACTAGTATATAATATTTGCTTTATATGTGTGTCAAAACGGACGGCAGTTATAAAATATGACAAAAATGTTTCTCACATTACAAAATTATCTTCATTCTGTAAAAATAAAAACTCATTTCCTACGTGAACCATCACCGTGATTATCTATAACTTGTTGAATAAGTTCTCTCGAAGGACTTTTTAAATCATAGGCCCATCCAATTTGAGCAAATAAATCTAAAAGTAATGTTGTAGCATTAACTTTGTAATTTCCTAATTCTGCTGCTTTATAATCCCAAGGAAATGTATGATGATAATTGTGCCAACCTTCGCCCATTGCCAAAATAGAAACCATCAAGTTTTCAACCGGTTGAATTTTCCTAAAAAAATATACAAAATTATTTAATTTTTTGATTGTATTTTTTTACCGATCGTATGGTTTGTTGCCAAACATATGAGCTGCACTGTTGACTAACCAAGTAAAATTAAGGCCACAAACATATCTTGCTATGCAACTCATCACAGACCAATACAAGGTTTCGTTCCAACATAAATATGGTATCATTGTTGGAAAAATAAAACACCAAAATAATTTCATTGGCCAAAAGTACCTAAAAATCGTAGCAACAATAATCATTTCAATTCCAAATTCCAATTCTTACTTTTCAAAAAACACAACTACTGGATCTTCAAACAGATCACTACAATTAATCGATTTTCCTTTTTTAAAAACTTCTGGATGTTTTCTCATCATCAACCACCCAACATGGGCAAAAAAGAACCCTCGATTTGCATTATGTGGATCAGCATCAGATTCGCTAAATTTATGATGCACTCTATGGTCTCTAACCCATTCGCGCAATCTGTTCTGCAAACAAAAATAATTACAATAAAATCTTCATGCAAACTTTCTAAAAACACAAAAATATACTTGGCCTGCAATCGCATAACAAACTATTAACATTATTCTTAATGGAAGTTTTGCCTTGTATGATTTGTGAGTCCATAGTCTGTGTGCTCCTGCTGTTACCCCAAAACCTCCAGCCCAACCTGTTACAAAACCTAAAAACATTTATTATGTAACTGCTGAAAAAAATTAAGAATTGACAAAAAGTTACACCAAGCAAAAGTGCTTTTGTGTTGAAGATACGGAAATGTGACGAATCCTATTACAGTGATAACATGTACTAAGATTATTCCGATGATATTTGGCCATATGAGGGGTGTTTTAAAATTGCCCCAAAATGTTCGGTAGGTAATTTCGGGTAATGTTTTCAGTTCACTAGGTGATATTTCTGATGTTGTAAGTGTTGTAGTTAGTGTGCTGTTGGGGGCCATGATTTACAAGTAGAAATCCTAAAAATAGAAATAGTAAAATTTAAACTTTTAATTTCAGTTAAAAATGTTGAAACATTAAGTATGTACCTATACCATAATTTAGGTGGAAAAATAAAAGTCTAAAACACTGTGTTTTTAATAAATGCGGTACGTGATTTTTTGAAAATTTGTATGGCACTATGGTTGTTACCAATAAATCGGCGAGCCAAAAACATTTTTTAACAAAATGTTTGTATGTTGGCCTTTAACTTATTTTTTTAGCCATACCGTATAACAATAATTTGCAACATTGTTTCTGTTATCAGTTGGAGAGTACTAGATATACAGGGTGTTTTACATAATTTTACGAGGCCTGCGCCTGTAAAATGCAATTAATAATAATACATATTTCGATACAAACTCAATTACAAATTTTGAAAATTTTTATAATCTTCTCTAGTTTGTTCACCCTATAAAAAATTACAACGTTTTGAAACAGTAATTAGTTTGACAACTACTGTTCTGGTTTTCCAAAAATTAAATAATTAAATGTGTATTTTTTGTATCTAGTGTTTTGTGACTTTTGTATATCTGGGTGCGTATATTAGGCGCAAGCCTCGTAAAGTTGTGTGAAACAGACTGTACAAACAATATACAGGGCGATTCAGATAAGATAATGAGCCTGACGATCTGGCGATTCAACCCAAAAAACAAATTTCATTTACGTCTTTGATCCAATTTCAATTAGGATTTTCAAGTTGAATCCAACTTTTCATCTTGGTGTCACTCTGACATCAGTGCAGAGAACGATTATTAGTGCCATTCAGTTCTCGCGAAATGATAGAGAAATTAGAGAAGTCTTTTCGGTGTAAACCCAATACAAAATGTATGAAACAATGAAACATTAAAGGTAGGCAAACAGTTTTTTTTTAAATCATAAATTGCTTGTCAAAGCACTATCAGAGCAATATGAGATAACTTGGATTGCAAATGCAAATCGTAATTAAAATTAGTTCAAAACGTAAATGAAATTTGTTTTTTGGGTTGCATCGCCAGATCGTCAAGCTCATTATCTTTTCTGAATCGCCCTGTAGGAGGAAGACATAGACATAGTAACAACAAATTGTTTCGATTCGTCGCTGTAATTAATTATATATAATTACAAAACTAATTATCTTACTTCGGGAAACCCTTTTGATTGCACTGTTTTAACTTATGGACTTTGCAATGTTGCGTAAAATAATTATTATTATACTGTATATCTACATTGACGGTCAAAATTGACAAAATGTCATGGTAAGTGTATTTTATGTACTTATAAAATACGTTGTCATTGACGACGTACTTTATATATTAAGGGCAATATAATAAACACAAGATAAATTAATAACTAGTTATAAGTACTAATTAATGTACAGGGTGCTGCATTTTGTATGTCCGAATAGGGAATCTCCGAAACTAAGATGTTTAGCCAAAAACGAGTGATACATTCTGGAACTCATTTTTTGAGAAAATAATATTGGTTAAAACCGCATCCCGCTATCGTCTTTTGGTTTCGACTTACAGACATTTTGGTGAAATCTAAAAAAAATCATATCTTTGTTGTTAAAGAAGATACGGATTTCAAATAAAGACATAATACAGGCACTTTTTTACGAGGAATTTAATAATGTAGTTAACAATTTTTTTCAGTTATTAGTTTAGCCGTAATAAGATAAACTTGTATTTTTTTAAATGGAAATCATAGGCGCCTATGGCAATTTCGAAAAGCTTATTTTTTTCTGTTCTAAAAAATATGTATTTGTAACAGAATATTTTTTTATAATTATACTTAAAAAATGCAATACATATTTTGTTTGATAATAATTGGCCATGGAAAAACTATTTCACTCCAAATGTGTAAATAATAATCAATAAGACTTTTGTGAACTGTAAAATATATGAAAAAATAGATAAAATTATAAAAATTTAAAAAATACGATATGTTAGAAGTATTGAACAAATATGCGAGCGCCTCAAAACAAAATTATTACATATTTTTAAAAAATCCAAGAATACGAAAAACAAATGTGTCAACAGTCAACACAATTAGAAAAAACAATTTTTTGATGATCTAATAGAGGTAGGATAACGTTCCACATAGACGTAATTTGGGTTTTGAATAGCCTTATCGTCATTTTTGTGTCATATAAAATATATTTTATTGAAGAAATAAAGCGGCTTTTTTTTACAACACTCTTTGTATCACTAGAAGTTACAATGGTAATGTTAGCTTGTTTAAAAACAAAGAAATGTTATTAGTCGCCCATAAGTTGATTTACGATTTATTTTGCATTTTATTCATTACTTAGTACTTAGAAAACTCTTTCATTAGTGACACTGGTTCAATAATACGTTTAAATCCTTTTAGTTGAAGATGCAACATTTTTTCTTGGCCAACTGCGAACAAAAATCAAAGATATTTTTTTGCTAAAAATGTATTATAATAATATATATTTTTTAGAAGAGAAAAAAACAAGCTTTTTAAAAATGACATAGCCATCTATGATTCCCATATAAAAAAATACAAGTTTATTTTATTACGGCAAAACAAACAACTGAAAAAAATTGTTAACTACATTATTAAATTTTACGTAAAAAAGTGCTTGTATAATGTCTTTATTTCAAATCTGTGTCTTCTATAATAACGAAGATATGAATTTTTTTAGATTTCGCTAAAATTTCAATTTTTGTCTATAAGTCGAAAACAAAAGACGATAGCGGGATGCGGTTTTAACCAATTTATTTTCTCAAAAAATGAGCCCCAGAATGTATTACTCGTTTTTAGCTAAACCTCTTAGTTTCAGAGATTCCCTATGCGGACATCCAAAATGCAGCACCCTGTACAATAAGTTCATAATCAGATTTCTTATACTTCAATCATTCAATTAATTGTTTTTTTTCTCTGCAATATTTGACATCTTGGGCGTACAAGAAAAATCAATTAAGTCCACAATTAAAAATTTTGGAGAAAACATATTTTTGCTGTATGTGTTTACTCTAAACTGGACTTACACTATTATGTGCAGTTCCATAGCTCTGCATTAACAACAGATAAAAACTTAGTTAGTTTTTATATTATTTTTTTATTTAAATATCTGACTTATGTAATCTTTTTTGCGATATTAATATTTAGACCTACCTGATGCTTATCTACTAGTTCATTCATAATTTTTGTAATAGAATTGCCAACCAAAAAATGGTTGAATTGACACAAAATGTAGAAATTATGGTTTTACGCTAAGAAACAAAATCATTTTGATCTTAATTCTGACTGGTTAGTTTAATAAAGCATCGTATGTGAAACTGTGCATTTAATTTGTGTACAGAATTAGTTAAAAACAAAACGGAGCGGTCTGTTTAACAAAAGAAATAAAAAAATGGATGAGGATTATTACTAAATTACTACAATTACTAAATATAACAAGATACATTTAATATTACTACAGGTCACAAATTAAGTCGCAAATGTATAGAATTGTAGCTACTTTTTGAAAAAATGTGTAGAGAGATTTTATTAATTGTATACCCACCTACATGGCTTTTTTTCAAAAAAGGCAAATGTATTGACTACGAGACAATGACGATTACGATTAGTCGTAGGCAACTAATATTACACTTTGTAGTTTTCTAATACCAAAAACATTTTTATTAAAAAAAATCGGCCAGTGAGTGTCTATGAAAGTAATAGTTATTTATTCGACGAGTTTGAGTGTAAATCAGACTCTTTATTTGACCGAGTGGATTTTTAAACCACGAGTGTAACGAGTGGTTTATCATCCACGAGGTGGAATAAAGCGTCCGATTTACACTCAAACGAGTGGAATACAACATTTTATTCTTCGAATTAGAGTCAAAAAGGCTTAAACTTGCTTTAAATCTGTTAAAAATAATTTGACGTTTTGTATTGAGAAATGCCAAACAGTTGTCAAAAGTTTCTTACACGGGAGAAAAACCGTAAATTTTGACAGTGTCGAAGAATAAAAATAATTACGTAATCAAAAATGATCGGATTTACATGTTTAGAAATGTTTTCGCCGCTGCAAAAATTTTTTCTTCTAAATACAAGCAGCTATCTTCAATCGGATACCAGTTGATTTGCTTTAAAATAAGGAATATTGATATAATTTATTTATTTATTTATTTATTTAACTTTAAAATTTTAGTTTTAAACGTCAATCATAATGACAATAAAGCGTGGATTGCATTGACATTTTTTGAACTGACATAAATCTGATGTCCAAAATTCGGTGTTCGCCACCGTATAACGTAAATATTGTAAATAACTATACAGAATGTTCCGTCTAAACCCCACATTAGAAGTATTGGGAGTTCGAAAAATCGTATGTATTTGAAAATTGGTAAGTAGCCATAATCCATTAGATTCTCATAAATGAAAATATTTTCAAGATGGCGGCACTTCCGGTTATACCGGAAGTCGGTCTCAACTTTCTTATTTTAAATGGAAAGCTATATTTTTTACTGCGATTTTGGATTAATCGGGTTATTTTAAGAGAGTTTTCATCAGCTTTCCCTATACCCAAATTTATCACTTTTTGAAATATTTGGAGTTTTTCAAAAATTTTTGGATCTACACCTTCCACTTAAAAATCGGTAACTCTGCTATTTTTTAAAATTTTGAATTTTTTTTTACGTTTGAAAGAGAAATCTTTTTTTTTGGTGTTATCAAATTTTGAAAAAAAATTAACAAACCCTAAAATATTAAGGTTACTTTTGTAATAATTCAAATACCCATAACTCAATTTTTCCAA